CCACTTGCACCCATGGCCCTGCTTTTCTGCCTGGCCAACTCCTATTCATCCTGCATAACCCCGATGTTGCTCCCTCTGGGAAGTCTTCCAGCCTACCCACAGCCAAGTGTGTGCTCTCCTCCGGGCTTTCTTAGCACCCAGTCCTTCTCTCTCTCATCAGCCACTGAGTCACACGGTCTACAATTGGTCCTTTTCCCTGTGAGCTCCCCAAAGTCAGGTAATGGGTCTCATTCATCTTTGCATTCCTGGTTCTTGGCATCATGCCTGGCATCTAGTCGGCATCAATGACTGTTTGATGAATGAATAGAAGACCTGGGTCAGCATCATCTACAGAGAGGGAAACGAGGGCAGAGGCCAACGTCAAGGAAGACACCCTGAGCCCCACCAGTAGGCCCACCCTAGCTGGTGACCAGGTCCACCTTAGCTGGTGACCACCCTAGCTGATGCCTCACCTCTAAAGCATCTCAGACAGGGCACAACAAGGCATCCTTGTTCCCTGCTCATCCCTCTCCTTTTCTCCCTGACGGGAGGGGCTGCCTCCCAAGCATCCATGAGAGCACACCCAGGGATGGGCAGGAGGGGAATAAGGGGAACGATGAGGCCAGTTGGAGGACACAGGGTACAGAGAGGAACCAGAGCACTTGGCAGACCAAATGCATGAGTGGCAGGGACAACCATATCCTTAGGAAAGGAGACTGTCTAGAAGATGAGCCTTGGGACCTAAGAATTGGTTGCCTCATTATCGAAGAGTGGGGGTGTGATTGAAGTTCCTCTGAGCTCATCCTCTTTCCTAAGCGACTTTGGTTCTTGAACCCCAGAGTGAGGCGGTTCATATTTTGCCTAACCCAACACTAGAACATAAGCCAAAGCAGAATGTCCACTTTCCAGATGGGAATATCGAGGCACTGGGAAGCCAAGCGTCTCCCTCTATCTGGCGCGGATATGTGGGCCAGAGGACCCATGACTTAGACTCTCACAGACAGATGATACACCTCGGCTTTGGAGGCCAGAGAGTTGTGCTGCAAAGCATGACACGCAGACTGCCCTGATCCCTTCCTCCTCGTGAGGTGGCAGAGTGGTTAGTTAGGAAGGAAACTATCAACGGCCAACCAATGGACCAATGTCAGAGGAGAGTGCTTTAGGTGACCCTAAACCCCAGGGTCATGCTCCCTATCCCAGAGCTCCTGATGGCCTGTCCTTTGAGGTCACTCTTACTTCTCTGTCTCAACCTTCAGGATCACAGTGGGCCCTCTCCCCAGCACCCTTCTAGTCACATTCCACATCTGTGAAGTGGCTCTGATACCTTCCCCTCCTGACCAGCCCACAGCCAGTATTCCCACCCAAACCCTGGGTACGTCACACTTAGATCATAGCAAATGCCTCTTATTGGGTCCCTACCACTTCCAGTCTACCTGTAGGCTCCACTTTCTGAAATCTAGTTCAAAGCATGTAGCTCTCTTGCTCACGATTTTCTCTATTACCTGCCAAATTCAATCCTGACCTCAGCTTAGCATTCAAAGCTCAGGTTCTAACTCTTCGCCTTAACTCTCTTGCTTCTCTGTGGTGTCCTCTATACTCACTGTTCCAAGGCTCAGACCGGTGTCTTCTACCTGGAAAGCCCTCCCTGTCAATCTCCGTCTGCTGAGACCTCATCCATCCTTCCTTGCTTAAAAGGAAGCTAGACATGCTCTTGTCCTCTGAGTACTCTCGGTAACTTCTCCCAGGAAGTGAGCCCCTTGAGAACAGAGTTGTCTCATCTGTCTTCTAGCCTCACAATGTGCAGAGCACAGTGCTGGGTAGATCAGCACAAAATTGGTACATTCGTTCAGTCAGTATTTATTGAGCAGCTCCTATCTGCCTTTGTATCCAGGATACAGGGACGACTCCCTGCAGGTGTGTCTTCACTGCGGCATGTAGACAGCCCATGCTCTAGAATGTGTAAGCATTAGCTGAGTATGAAGGGATTAGCCACATTTCCATTCACCCCCTCCCCACCTCCCTGCAAATTTGGGGGCTGCCGCCCATTGACCTGTGTCCAGGGAATGCAGACCCACATACAACACTAGCATAGGCTGAAGCTTCTTCAACAGCCCAAGTAGAATCGGCACTTTGCAGCTGCGTGGGCAGGAAAGACTGATGGGGAGCTCCCAGGAGCCCCTCTATGGGCCCAGAGAGAGAGGTGTAGGGGTCTCTGGTTCTCCATCGGACCAGGCCTGCACATCTTTAGGATGCATCAGAGGTCATGCTCATTCACTTGCTCGGGGACCACTCCCTGCAAGGCTCAAACCCCTCTGGCTGTCCCCAGGGCTGGGCAGCCCAAGTTCTCTAGATGTTGTAGGGGCTGAAAGAACAAGGGGCCTGGATGATCCTTGGGGTGGTCATCTCTGGCTGTGAGGGAGGAGCAGGTGTATTACCCCCTTCGTCCTCTCCCCACCTGTCCTCTGGAATAGAAAGAGGAAAAGAGTTCCCAGGTCCATCCCTGGTCTCGTGTGTCCACAGATCCCAGTGCTGCAGACCAGGGGTGATATCCACACATTTACCAACCACACAGCATAATGCTGACCAATCACAATGGTCACTGGCTGAAATACTGGAGCAGGGTCCTAGGGGTCCCACACAGATGCCCTTGTAATTGCTGGATTACCAGGTGAGCCAGGGGGCCCAGGGGAGGAGCAGGAGCAGTTGGGGCAGGCAGCAGCAGTCTAGACAAAGGTGATATACCTACTTGAACAGAAGTATTTTTGATACTTCCCTTAAATATTTTAACAACTATTATGACTACATCAGTGCATTCTAGCCCTGCTGCCAACCACGGTGCCCATACAATCACATCAAATCCAATTTAAAACCACATATTTTATTAACGTTCTTCATCGACAGTACAGGGCCATGTGTACAAATGCAAGTCCCATATCTAGCAACCTCCCCACCTTTACCCCGCACTGCCCAATCTGCCAGGAGCTGACCCCTGTGGGTCTCCATTTGGCTCTCTCCCTCAACATCCTGCCTCATAGTACTAAGGCTCCAGGAGATTGGGAATGCTGGGCTGGCTTCCAAGCTTGAGCTTTGGAGTCAGGAGAGAGCTAAGGCCTGGATCGCCCACAGCTTCTCCCCTTCCCCTTCCACTCCCACTACCTAGGTTTGGCCAGAACTGGGAGTGAGGATGTTGCCCAATGACTCCACCATCCAGGCAGCCTCATCTCTCTTTCAGCCCTCTCTGCCCCGTCCTTTCCCTCCAAGTAACCTGCCCTGCTGACCACTAAGATGGCAGAGTGACCATTTTTCTGGGGGTTACAGTCAGTGCATGAAGGCAGTGACAAGATGCCTCTGATGGCAGGAACCTCATTGTTTTGTTCACTGTATAACCAGTGCCTGAAAGGGCACATAGTTGGCACTCAATAAATATATGTAGCATATTTGAATGAAGGAATATGAGAGGGAGAAGTATGAGCTGGTAGAGCCATTACTACATTAGCCCTCTAGGGGGCAGGAAGGTAGAACGGAGGAAAAGGCCTTTCGAGCTCTGCACAAGGACTCAGGATGTTGTGTGGCAACAGCTGGGCTAGCTGTGGCCACCAGCAGGACACTGTAGGGTGTGGGCTTCAGCTCTGCTGTCTGCATGGATAGCAGACTTGTGTCAGGAAAGGGCACTTGTGTTGTACTCACTCCTTCATATGCCCCAGGAGGCTGATCCTCTGTGTTTCAGAACACGTAACAGTGCTCCTATTCAGAGCCAGTCAGATAAGCGGGTCTGCCAATTGCACCTCTATGTTCTGGTTTCCCTCATTCCACAGCCTCAGCTCCACCAATCTCACCCTTCAGAGTTGAGCATGACCTTCTAGTTCTGTTCTCTCCACCACTGCCCCCACCTGCCCCTCATACTGCTCCATTTGCCTGTCCTCAAATGCCAGCCCCTTCAACTAGGAATAACACCCGGGTAGTCCTGTCTCTTTAGAGACTCTCTCTTCGGTGGCTGGTAGGGTCCTGAAAGTTTGCATCATGATTTTCAGACCCCTCCATGCCCAGCCCACCCTCCATAAAAGCAAATAATAAGCATCCCTACAGATCTTGCTTCTGGACCTGACAATCATGAAGAAGACACTAGAATCTTGGGATGGGAAGGAATTTTCTCTTCCCTGACCCTGTGCAGAAACTCTTTCCATGGCCTGCCTGCTAGAGATGACTGCCTAGTCCCTGCTGGAATACCTCTAGTTTGGGGGCACTCACTACCTCCCCAGGCAGCCATTTAGACATTGAACGTTTTTAGCTGCCAGAATGTTCTTTATACAGAGCAAAAACAATCCATTCACCTCTCTCATTCTCATTCTGCATATATCCCAGCACCCAGCTTCTGTGTGACCCTCTCTCTTCCCCTCCTCTAAGTGTCCCCCACCTCTCTCGCTCTCTCTCTCTCTCTCTCTCTCTCTCTCTCTCTCTCTCTCTCTTGTTTGACTTCTACGTGTGCACGCGCGCGCGCGCACACACACACACACACACACACACACACACACACGTGTCCCCTTCTATGTGGTTATGCAGTCACATGCCTCTCTCATTTATCGGTACATCCTTTTCTTCTCTCTTCTCCTCACCTTCCCAGCATTTAGCAAGGATCCAGAGGCTGGAGACTAAGAGGAAAGGCTGGAAAAGTGCCAGGGAAAGGAAGCTTCCAACTAGGTCCTGGACTGGGCTGTGGTGGCCGGGCGGGGTAGGGTGGACAGGGGACAGCAGCTGGAGATCCCAGGCCATTTGTTGCTGTGGCCCAAATAAAAGGCCTTGCAACTCGGGGGGTTGGTTGAGCAGCAAGCTACTGAGTCCTTATTCCCTCCCACTGCCCATAATTCCACAGAGAGGATGAGGACACACAGCCCTCCTTCTCAACCTCCTTAGCAGTTGGCAGAGCTGACTTGGTAATTTTAAACATTTGGTAATTTTTAAACATTTTTGCCAGCCTCCGGGTCTCAGGGAGCATCATACCAGCAGCAAAAATCCACTCCCTACTTCCAACAGGGGGCATAAAGGAAGAGCTCTAGCAGATGGCAGTGATGACGTGAGACATGGTGGAGAGAGGACAAGGCAGGCAACGGGGGAAAGTAGGGAGAAGAAACAAAAGCAGAGACCTCCTAACAGCAGCCACCCGGCTACCCCATGAGGAGCAGAGCAATACCTGGGCGGCCATTTTTCTTTTTGTCATGATTCACCAGCCTATGTGTCACAGACCAGCGGTGGATGCTAGGACCTTACCAGCCCGAGATTGTAGTGGGTCATGGATGGAGACAAGGATGCAGTGGTCTTATGTTTAGGAGAGGTCAAGACATACACACAGAGAAATGATGGCGGTGCCAGCTACTTGTCCCGCTGCTTGGAGCTCTCACCTCCGACATTAAGCATGGGGACAAGCAGGCCCAGCAGCCACCTCTTTCCGAACACTTCTTGTAAGTTCTTGCGCCAGGGCCGGGCCCTCACCGCCACCCCCTTCCGCACCTGGTGGCGGGTCTGCCCTCGGAGGATCAACAGCAGCTGATGGCAGCAGAAGCCAGCGCAGGCCAGGCCGATGGCAAACCAGAGGTAGAGCATGAGGATGACGAACATTTCAGAACCAAGGACAGCTCCTGCAGGGGGGGCGGGGAAACACCAGAATCGCTTTACACTCAGGCCACGTACAGAACTGCCATCACGGTAGGCGCTTTCTGCTAGGAAGAGAAGGAGATTAATGATATCGAAGCTACATTTTGCAGCAATCTCAGCGCTGCAGCGAGGGAGAGGAAGGATAAACTAGTTACCCTAACTTTTTCTTAGTGCTGGTGGCTCCTGAGGCAAGGGGAGAGACAAGGATGTGGGGAGAAGTGCCTATACACTAACTAACATTTTCTGAGTCAGAGATGCTGGTCTCTGTCTGCCTTCTCTTCCTGGTCTGGAATCAGGGAGAAGGGATTTTTCCCAGGAGGAGAGAGGGGTGAGCTGAGGATCCTAGAGAGGGAGCTGGTGCCTGGGCAGCTGTCTAGACTGGAGCAACTTCTCCCTACGGAGCTGGGAGCATTGGTTGGGAGGACTTAGGAAAGTGACAGCATGATGGAGAACAGGGCCTAGTCATCAAGAAGAATAAGTCACGAGCTCCTAGGGCAGTGCAGAATGACGAGTTAAAGAATAATTCAGTCATTAATGTTAACAAGTGTACAGTGTGGCCACCAGAACATTCAGTCAAAGCTGTCCTGTCAGTCAGAGCTTGCTAAAACTGGAAGGGGCCCCCAAGGTCATTAGTCCAGCCCACTGCCTTGGGCAGGACCTCCTGTAAAAACCTCTATACCGATACTCTCTATTACTCGTTCTTAAACATTCATGGAGTAAGAGACATCACAGTCTTCTTCAGAGTAGGGGTGGTCAGTCCATGCTAAATTTGAATGTCCCAACTCTGGTCTCACGCAAGTTTCTTAACCTCTCTGAGTTGCAATGCAGTTTGTTCATCTGAAAAATGGGTATAATAATAACGATTCCATAGGGTTGCCTGATTCAAGAAAATCGTGTGTGAAGTGGCCAGCTTTCTGGTTCACACTCAGTGCAGTACTCCCTGCTGAAGGCCACTCATAGGTGAGGAGGCTACATCCAAAAAGGGCTCAACTTTAACTCCTTAGTCCATAGAGCTTTCTCCTTCTCCTTGGCTGGATTGCAACTTTGGCAGCCACGGTAGAGACACCTACTTTGACCTACCCAGCAGCCAGGGCAGTGGGCCCTAGAGAGAACTCAAAAGCCCTCCTCAGCCCCTCTCTCCCTGCAGAGCAAGCCCAGCACCACCTCCTCCAGTGAGATGAGGGGCCCTGCTCCACAGATCCCATCTTACAACCCCTTTGACCTCTGCAAATCTCAACCATATCCCTCCCTTTTCCAATTTCCCCTGGCCCAGCCTGCCTCTTCCCTGGTCTCCCCAGGCTCCAATTTCCAGACCCCTAAGGGTTGGGCTTTTAAAACTTGTCCAGTCTGAGCAGTGGCGGACTCAGCTGCCAGGAGGATTGGGCCCAATTTGGGTTTGCTCATTAGCAGCTTCTTCTTGCCCTCAGCTCTCGGAGCTTTGATAGCAGGTTTCTCTTTGCACAGTTGGAGACAAATAAGCCCAGCTGCCCAGGGGAGGGAAGCTCATTCCAGCTGGCATTTTGAGCAGCCCCTCAGCTGTCTGGGGGCAGCAGAGGGACAGGGCTCACATTGGGCTGTGCCATCCCTCTGACCCACTTCTTCCTGTCAGCACAGGTTAGCTCAAGCAGACACGTGCAGGAGGAAGGATCCAGGGACCATGGATCCCTTTGGGCTCCGGGAATGCTGACAGGCAAAGATGACCCTCAAGCTGAAGTGCGAGAACATCAGAGCTGTCAAGTGCAGGCCTGCCTTCAGCTCAACCACAGGGACAAGCCTGGGCTGATGGAAGCTGTTTTCCATGGGCTTTTTCTCTGGCAATAAATCAAGGCATGAGGAAGACCTTGTGGCCTGCTCCCGGCCCCTTACGGCAGCTACAAAAGGCTATTCTGGGGACCTGCTTTTTCTTGAAGTGTTTGAAGTTGTCTAACCTGGCTGCCTCAGATCCTCTGAACTATTTAACAATAGTTCTGCTTCTTTTAGAAAATCACAGTTTTCCTAAATGGCCTGAATGGTCACATCACCTAATCTCTCCATCCCTGCTTCCTACCAAGCATCTATAACACCTTTGACAGATCATCGCCTAGCATCTTTGATATACATCCAGGGACAAGAAGCTCCCTCCCTCCCAAAGTGGTTCATTCATCAAAAAAGTAGCTTCAGAGAAGCAGTGTGGTTGGTGAAAGGAATATGAGCTCTGGAGGCTAGCAACCCTGAGTTCATACCTTGGGTTGGAATCATGCTGGCTGTATGGCTTTGAAGCAACTTAATCTTGCTGACCTTTTGGTTCCTGAGCCTTTAAAATACATATAATAATACTTACGTCACAGACTTGTCATAAGGATTGGATGAAATGAGACCTGCACAATAAGTAGCACATGATGAGTGTTTGACAAACGTTAATCCCCTTTCCCTTCTACTAGACTTTCTGGTGGCACCCACTCTGCTAGCATACTTATCAAAATGCCATAACAATGGAAATGATGGCATCATTTCCATTTCCCAAATGAAAAGAATGAGGCTCAGAGAGGTGACACAATGTACTGGTCCCATGAAGCCAAAAGAGAAGACGACTTCTAAAATCCACCTGTCCAGCCTCTTATCTCTTCAGTGTCAGCAGCCATCAGAGGACCCCTTCCACTTCTAACTCACAGGGCCCACACTTACAGCCAGTCCATGTTCTGGTGGCAGATCTGACTCAAGGGCAATACCACAGCTGGGGACAAGAAGTACCACAGTTGCGGAATAAGAGCTCAGTCTATTAAACAACTTGGGGCTTCTTCCTCCCTCCTGTCCACCTGTCTTCCTGAGCAGCTGCGATAGTGTATGTCCTCAACCATTTGAGTTGAGAATAGTAGGGGAGGAGATAGGGAGGGAGAAGCTGAAGAGGTGAGGTGTATGCGTGGGAGAGGGGAGAGTAGAAAAACTGGGAAGGGGAACAATGAAATGTTGGCAAAGGAAGGTGAGATGGGAGAGACGCAGATTAGAAATCTTGGCCTCCTTTTCCTAGTGGGTGTGGTGAGGAGGTAAAAGATAGTGGGACTCATCCTTCTGCTGAAACAGGAATCTGGGCCCAAGGTAGGCACTGACTGGCTCTGTTCTCCCATCAGATTAAAGAAATAGGTCCCTCTTCCTTTCTTTAGTGTCTCCCAAACCTAGCAGGTATGGACAGGCCTCAAGACCAGGCTTATCTCAAATCAAACCATTTCAAGATCTTCTCTTTGAAACCATCCATTTTTATATGATGAAACTACTTGGAAAAGAAAGTGTAATCAGGCTCTCTGGCTCTCCTCATTCCTCCACCTGCCTGTGCTCACACTCCACCCCCTAAGCCCGCCCACCTACCCTCCCCCGTCCTGGTTATTTTGGTCCCAGAAGCCTCCTATGCCAGCACCAGGATCCAGAAGGGCCGAGAGCTCTGACATCTGGGCCCAGCTCAGCCACCAGCCCTCAAGGCAACCCTGACAACTGGGTTCTTCCTGGGCCTCTGTGTTTGTTCTCACTGCCAAATGGCATAATTGTTCTTTGCCTGCAAAGGACCAGGCTGCAGCCCCAACAAAGACCAAAGTGATGGCTCCCCACAGAGTAGAGCGGAATTTTTATTAATGTCCAGCCCAGGGACGTCAAGACAATCTTGGGTTCTTAGTGGAAGTAGCTGCACTCTGTCTTTGTCCCTGAAAGGTCAATGGGTGAGAAAACATGTATTCCCTATGCTGCTAATGGGGACAGGCCAGGGGCTGCTACATAGTATTAGTAAGATTCTAGGCAAGCCGTTTAATCCATTTGAGTCTCAGTTTCTTCGTCTGAGAAATAGAGTTGCTATCATATACACACATGCGTGCATGCTACCAGTTGTCAGAATCGAGTCAATCAGAATCAAAGGCCTGGGTAGGGATGGAGTAGAAGGAAATGAGGTGGGGGCAAATTTCAATACCAGATAAAGTGGTAAGAACTGCCACCAGGAGCGAGGTCCTTCTGGGTCAGGTATCAGGAAGCTGTTCTTGGGGCATACTACATAAAATACAGTCCTCGACAGAGTTCCTAGCTGAGCACCACTGTGAAGGCTCACATGCCTGGCTCCTGCAGGTGTAAGAGCATCCTGGAGGCTCAGATCCCTCACCAGTTCCATGACTCTGGTGTGAAGATGGAGTCATTAAACATGGCTGCATCCCCAACCAGGTGCCCCCTGCCCCAAGCCATCTGCAGGCTGGAGAATCACCTGATGGAGGTCAAACATATTGGGCAGGAGGGCAGAGCTTAGCCTCTTGCTGGGGCTGGCCTGGCATCCTGTCAACCTGACTGTGGTTGGTTGGCAAGACCTCTGGAAAGCAAAATCCTTGGTAGAATGTGTGAACAGCTTTGGGGTCCAGGCAGAGGAAGGTCGTAGCATGGGTGTACCTCACAGGCTGCATATAGGGCTGGCCAGCACCCAGCCTTGCCTGGCACATAGCAGGTATATTTCCTGGATTGCCACAATTCTATGAGCAAACGGACAGTGGCGAGCAAGGAGGAGATGATAAATGAGGATAAGGGTGGGGAGAGAAGTTTGCCAGATAAAATACAGCATGCCCAGTTAATTTGAATTTCAGATAGATAACAATAAAATTTTAAAATATAAGTATGTCTCATGCAATATTTAGGAGATACTTACACTAAAAAGTTATGCATTGTTTACCTGAAATTATAATTTAATTTGGCATCCTGTATTTTTATTTGCTGAATCTGGCGAACTTGGGGCTGGGGGTGTTGGAGGAGAGGTCTTTGTGTAGGGCCCAACCTGCCTGCCAAGGCCCACTCACCAGAGAAGAACTGGCTGATGGAGGTGGGGAGGAGCGTGAGGAAGGCCAGGGGATGGGCGAAGGAGATGGAAAGGACTGCAGAGATGTAGGCCACACCAGCCACCATGGAGTAGAGGCAAGCAAGGGAGGTGTAGAGGCAGAACAGGACGAAGTTGCGCATGTTTCTGCTGCCAATGCAGTTGCCGGTGAAGAAACAGTGATGGTCGTGCCTCAGGGTAACTCTGGCGCAGACTCGGCAGAAGTGGGTGCTGGGTGGGGGACATAGAGCCTTCCTGGCCGAGGTCCCCTGGCAGGCATCCATGTCGTCAGGGGAGTTCTGGATGACCAGGACGTAATTGCCCAGGGCGTTGGTTGAGAGGAACAGGAAGAGTGCCCCGTGGAGCAACGCAGGCGAGAAAAGCGGAGCGGCTGCGGGGTCCTCGCGCATGCTGGGCAGGAAAAGGAAGAGCTGCAGCACGAAGGTCACCAGAGAGATGCACAGGAAGTAGGCGGGGGCCACCACGTTGAGCAGTCTCAGGGCCAGCATCCTCGATTACATTCCTAAGAGGCCCAGGGTGAGAGGAAGACTTACTGCGCTGTCCAGGGGGCGCCCCAGGGCGTTTCTGCGTCGCTGTCTGTCGGTGCTGCTCCACGAAAATCCTTGCTCCCCGACCCCTGTCCCTCGATCACCCCTCCTCTCTTCCCTTGCCCGGGCCCAAGCAGGCATGAGACCCCGAGACCACAACGGCCTCTGAGGACCAGGCTTTATTTCCAGGGGCCCAGCTCCCTCGGCGCTTCGGCGCCCCGGGGTCAGGCAAAAAGAAGAGCGAGGTTGGGGCTTGTTCTCAGTCCGTAGAGGATGAGGGGTGAGGGGCTAGGACTCCGCTTCCTTATGGCAGTGAAAAGGAGCCCAGGTTTGGGATTTCTCCTTCAGACCCCTTAATAGTTCGCGAAGGATTTGGGGTGGGAGCAAAGAGAAATTACCTCCCGAAAGTCCAGCTTCACCTCCCCTTTCTCCGCTCCCTGCTCCCCCACTTTTTGGGTAATATTCAGGGACCTCACCAGTAACCTAATGCTCTTTGGGGGTTTGTGTGCGGTGGGCTCGTGATGCGTGTGTATGCGTGTGTGTGTGGCGGGGGGTGAGGGGTTCCTGTGTGTGACTCTGTACGTGTAATCTGTGTGCGCCTGGGTCTCTGTGCTTGTGTGTGTGTATATCTGTGTACATACACGCAGCCGCTGCCACCTGGCTTTAAAAAAAAATCAATTAAAACAATCGATGCACTCACACACGCGCTCAGACACCGGATGGGGTAGGGGGCACAGCCCGAATACCTGTGTCAGCCGGTCCTGGTCAGCCCGCCTCTCCGACGCTGGCAGCCCTGGCTATTTCTTTGCAAAGAGCGTTTTCATTTGAGGCGACAAAATTAAAATCCCCCCTTCGCGCCTGCCTCCGCCCTCCTGGAGCGAGAAACCCAAACAACCCCGATGGCGCCGAAACCCTTTCGGCACCAACAAGCCCGCCCTGGGCGCAGGAGTGGCTGCTTGGCCAGCTTTTCAGCGGATCGACCCCCGCCGCCGAGTGCAGCCCCCACCGCATCTCCACTCAACCCCGGTCCCCACAGCCCTGGTTCCTGCCCAGCTTCGGAGGCCGCCGGGAAATGAGATTCTGGGCGCCCGAGAGAACTTTTCCAGGGGCTAAGGAGTCAGGGAGCCGGAGGAGCAAGAAAAGTTCTAGGAAGGTTGCTGCACCCAGAGTGGGGGAGAGCCTCGAGGCCTCCGTCCAGGCTGTCCCGTCCGAATGGGCGACTGATCACCTTGGAGTCCCCTCTGCAGGTGCCAGTGCCCCCCGGGGACCCGCGGCCGCGGAGGGGAGCGCAGGCCTCTCTCCGCGGCAGGGGCCCAGCGCAGGGCACGCCCCGGGAGTGGTCGCTGGGAGCTCGGCATCACCCCGGCCGTGAGCTCCTTGGGGCTGCGGCGGCGCTGCCCACCCCAGAGAGAGCCTTCGGCCTCGGGCTCCAGCAAAGCAAGTGTCTTCCCCACGCTGGTCGCCAGGGGGGCGCGGGAGCAGCCTCCAGATGCGCCGCGGCGCCTGGAAGGCGAAGGACTGAGGCTAGGGGAGTATGGGGCTCTCGGCGGGCGGCCGCAGCCGGGGC